TTTGTTGGCAACGATTCCCAAGATCGAAGATTTAAAGCCGGAACAAAGAAAATGTTTGGTGAATTTTATGAAGGGGAAAGACGTTACTGTCCTTCTTCCTACGAGATTTGGTGCATTACATACGTCACGACCAAACAGTAGAGATTGGTTAAATAAAAAAGTACCTGCCTACAATCGAGCGAACAAATCCTAATGCAGCGAGGTCAGATGGTTTCCACAAAGTGAAACTGCTGATGATGAATCAGGCTAGCTTTAGTCCATGCATGAAGAAAGTTTATAAAATATGTTTATTATGTAATTCTAAATGAGCTTAAAGGGACATTTGTGACCTGGGATTTGAACAATGCCCCGGTCTGTTACTGGGTTTACTGGTTATTGGATACCATATTTTCTGCACTATTAGTCACTCTGGATTATAAGGCGCAATGTCATTAAATGGTCTATTTTCGAACTTTTTTCACAAATAAACCACGTGGGACTTTAAAGGAAACACAACAGTGTGATGGGTGAGTGGTTTTGTTTGTTTGTTCGTTCACGGTGACTCTGGGCTTTGTTCAGTTGTGGCGTGTAGGGAGGTGCTGTCTGGGACCAACGGATTGTCGGCGTGTTCGCAGTGACTCAGTTGTTCAGTCGTGTCTAGAAGCGGCACGTCGCGCTCGCTTTTTCGGTTCGTCCCTCCGTTCCGTTCCTCGTCGGCGTGGAGTGATGAGTGTGTCTGTGGGTGTGTTTCTCTGCGCGGTCGCTGTCTGCTCCGTGTGTGTTTGCGTGCGCTCCGTGTTTTGCGGCTTTGTAGTTTACTGAAGTCGTACTGGGACACCTGAGTGGATTCGTGTATTGATGGGGTTGGAGGCTTTTGAGTGTGCCCTATAGTGCAGAAAATACGGTACTTTTTCTTTTTACTCTTTGTTATTATATTATATTGTGATGTGTGTCCAAATAATTTCCCTTGTGGATCAATAAAGTTTGTCTAAGTCTAAGTCTGTGTTATATTTTGGTCATGTTTAATTACTTAATCACAACATAATCTAGTCCGTGAATGTATTGAGAGAATAATAATGAGCCTATGTGACGGAGGGGGGAGCGTGGAAGTGTCAGAAGTGCAAACAGCTGGTCTACGGGCCCCGGGTTCATCTCCTCCCCCGGGTCACAACCCCTGAGGTCGAAGGTCGGGTGAAGTGTGCCGCTATGTCGTGCTTCTTTGTTGAGGGAGGAGGGGGGAGCGACGCTGGAGGCAGAAACAGAGAAACAGAAAACCAACCCCCCCAAAAAGCCTCTAAAAGCACCTCCTCCAGCGAGTGAACAGCCAAGAGAAAGTCAGAGTCAAACAGGGAAAAGGTCGCTGGTTCAACTGACTTACTGTACCGAGTTGTAGCCTCTATAAATAGCCCAAGTTGGAAGTCTAAGATTGGAAACGGCTCAGCGCTCCGTAAAGCACCTCAACTCGAGTTCAGGGTTTGATTTTGCCAAAGCCGACAGGAGCAAACATGAACCGTTATTGCGCGACGGTGTCCGAGTTGAAACGTCGCCCGCAGACGCCAAACAAACACTTCCAACGGGTTTTTAACGCAGATTTATTCCAAACACGCATCAAGAATTTTTTAGACTTAATCGCGCAATTCATACTGGGAAAGATCCAGTGGACAGTGTTGGGGAGTAACAGATTACATGTACCGGAGTTATGTAATCAGAGTACAAATTATGAGTAACTGTATTCAGTTACAGTTACTGTTTCAGTGAGTGGTAATTGGATTACAGTTACTTTGTTGAAATAAATGGATTACACAGAGGGATTTTACTGTTTACACATTTCGGGCTATATCCCTTTTTTTTTTTTTTTTCTGGTAATTCACTCATTCCGGACACTAAACCAGGTCTAAACCAGGTCTAAAACCAGGACTAAACAGGTCTAAAACCAGGACTAAACCAGGTCTAAACCAGGTCTAAACCAGGTAAACCAGGAATAAACCAGGATTAAAAGGAAGGTCTAAACCAGGACTAAAACCAGGACTAAACCAGGCTAAACCAGGTCTAAAACCAGGACTAAACCAGGACTAAACCAGGAGGTCTAAACCAGGTCTAAACCAGGACTTAAACCAGGACTAAACTAACCAGGACTAAACCAGGAAAACCAGGACTAAACCAGGACTAAACCAGGACTAAAACCAGGACTAAAAGGACTAAACCAGGACTAAACCAGGTCTAAACCAGGTCTACCAGGCTAAACCAGGACTAAACCAGGACTAAACCAAAAACCAGGACTAAACCAGGTCTAAACCAGGACTAAACCAGGACTAAACCAGGACTAACCTAAACCAGGTAAACCAGGACTAAAACCAGGTCTAAACCAGGTCTAAACCTAAACCAGGACTAAACCAGGGAAAAGCAGGACTAAAACCAGGTCTAAACTGGGACAAAACCAGGACTAAACCAGATCTAAACCAGGACTAAAGCAGGATTTAACAGGACTAAATCATGCTGCATGGACCGTGTTTCCTCGTCTTCTGTCAATAATATTTTTAATTTGGTTCAGTAAAGTCTGGTCTTTTTATTTTCTTTTATCAGACAAAACATCTTATATGAAGATTTCCTCGTCTTTGCTTCTCTACAGCAACTCAAGTAATCCAAAGTATTCAGATTACATTACTCACTTTAAGTAATTTAATGGATTCTGTTACAAACTACATTTTGGTGTGTGTAATCTGTAATCTGTAGGGGATTACATTTTAAAAGTCACCTTCCCAACACTGCAGTGGGGATGTGTCTATTGTCAAAGTCGATCTTTTCAAGTCTTTTGAACGATATCGCTTTTGTTTCTGGTTCTGATATTGTCATATTTTAGTTTTGGGATTCGGACATAGTAATTGTGTGGTTGTTGGATCCTAACAGCGGAAAACGGCTCAAGAAACGGGTTTACTCTAAGTCAGACATGTCAAACTCAGGCCCAGGAGCCAAATTTGTCCCACGATATAATTGTATTTGGCCCGTGAGATCATATCAAATCTGTATTAGAGCTGCCCACCGGCTACACACAGACTATAGAGACATTATTTATTAAAATATTGTTGTTATTTTATATTTAGCTTGTTCTGGATTCAATGTTTTTTTTAATTTTAATTTTTTAAAATATTTTTATTAAGGAATCACAATATACTCATACAAGATTTACAAATCACAATTATTTTTCCTTTTATATTTTTCTTATTTTCAAAAGGAAAACACCATCTTAATAATAAATACCAAATCCAAATATTATCAAAAATGAAGCAAAGGCAAACAATCAAAAGATAATAATAATTATGATGGTGAAAAATAAAATTAAAAAAGGTAAATAGAGAGAGGAAGAGAGAGAGGAGAGAAGACAGTAGGTGGGGGGGAGGGTCAATCTATTCGTCTAAAGGCAGAATTTTTAATGATTTGCAGTATTCCATAAACAAACCCCATTTCTGTTCAAAACTTTCTTCATTGCCCTTGGTTGCAATATTAATCTTTTCTAATTTAAGAAATCCTAAGACATACGATTCAATGTTTAAGCAAAACTGTTATTAAACATTTATTTTAATAAGAAAAGGTTCAATATTACGTATCTCGAAAGAAGAGAAAACATGCAGATATTTTTGAAAATTTTCAATAAATCTTTAGTTTGGCCCACGACTTAGTCAGTTTTTTTTTTTATTTTGGCCTCTGTGAATTTGAGTTTGACCCCTGCCCTAAGCCACTGAATGTTGAGAATCAAAAACGTTACTTTGAAAAGTTAAAAGTCGCCGATAACTGTTGATGATGTTGATGTTGACTGTTGATATGGATGAAATGCTTTTTGCCTACCAACATGGCTGCCTTCCCGGACGTGACATCATCTTGTTTTCTGGTATAAATATATTTTTTGTTTACTTGCAGACTTGATATTTTGCACTTTTGTAGATAAGGCTTTAAATTAAGCAGGATTTATTATGTCCAAAAAGTTGTTTTATACATATTTGCTGTGTGGTTTGTATGAAAGAATGTGAATTTTATTTTCCATTTTTTGTTTTGTTTTTCATTTGTATTTCTGGTCCTGTAGATTTTATTATTACCACATGACACAACTCCAGCAGCAGATTGTGAAATAACAGATTGTACTGAAAACAAAAAAGGACGTATAACACTTCATTAGAAGGTAAAAGGTAAGAGGTCAGAGTACAAATGATGAGTAACTGTATTCAGTTACAGTTACTGTTTCAGTGAGTGGTAATTGGATTACAGTTACTTTGTTGAAATAAATGGATTACACAGCGGTATTTTCCTGTTTTCACATTTTGGGCTACTCCCTTTTTTTTTTGTTTGTTTGGTAATTCCACTCATTGCCGGACACTAAACCAGGTCTAAACCCAGGTCCAAACCAGTTCTAAGCCTAGTCTAAACCAGGACAAAACCAGGACAAAAGCAGGACAAAAAACAGGTCTAAACAGGTCTAAACCAGGACTAAACCAGGACTACAACCAGGTCTAAATCAAGTCCAAACCAGGTCTAAACCAGGTCTAAATCAGGCCTAAACCAGGACTAAACCAGTTCTAAAACAGGATTTAACAAGACCATGTTTCCTCATCTTCTATCAATAATATTTTTAATTTGGTTCAGTAAAGTCTGGGCTTTTTATTTTCTTTTAGCAGACAAATCATCTTATGTTATGATTTCCTCGTCTTTGCTTCTCTACAGCAAACCAAGTAATCCAAAGTATTCAGATTACGTTACTCACCTAAAGTAATTTAATGGATTTCGTTACAAACTACATTTTGAGGTATGTAATCTGTAATCTGTAGGGGAATACATTTTAAAAGTCACCTTCCCAACACTATTGAGTAATTTAATCATTTTTGCTTTGTGTAAAACGGGAGAACTAGACGCGTTCTGATGCAATCGCCGGCGGAAGGATCCCCGCACTTCTGCGCGGAGGAGGTTCGTCTTGTTGCCTGGATACGAACGCGGAGGGTGACACATCCGTGGAGTTCCTCCGGCGTGAAACTGGCTCGCACGGGCGGCCATTTTGGGTCCACCTCCTCCGCTGTTTCCTACGCGTGACCTTCGTCCCGTTTGAGCCGCGATGTCGCCAGTTTCCCCGTGAGCCCGTAACGAAGCCCAGTAGACGCGAAAAAACAGCGCCATTTCTGTCGGCGTCCATGATACGCTATGCTACCGCAGCGGATTCCAGAGCCGGAGCTCGGATCGGCAGCGGGAGGAAAGTAACCGCTCCGCCTTTTCGCCGCTCCGCGTTACTTCAGCCCCGCGGCAGGTAAGCGAAAACCCCGGGCTTTGAGTTATCGCGCTGGGGGGGTGTTTGTTTTCCGTCCGTGCCCTCGGTCCGTGCAGCGCTTTACCGTTGGACTGTGTGACGATATGGCGCACACTTTTGAAGGGAAAAACGTCTGACAGCGCACGGAGCTCCGCGGTGCCGCTCCTCCTCCCCGCGGCCACAACAACACCGTCCGTAACGGCTAAACGCAACCACCCACCGACCACCATTTTAACCCGGTTTCAGCACTTTTAAAAACACCGGGACAAGCTTTAACACGGCGCTTTTTGCTGGAGGTTTCGGCCCTGCCTCACGTCCCCCCGTTGGCCGCTGGCGAAGTTAAATGAAAATCCAGCTCAAGTCACCGCCTCAAAACCCCAAATGAACCACTCAAACTTTATTTAAATCGCCCAACTCTTCCTCCACGACGCGTAATCACGTTTATATTCTAAGTTTCTTCTCTCTACACTTCACATTCCAGCCCCGTAATCATCGACATAGCTTAGCCTCGGAGCTAACGCTAAAGGTCGGCCAGGGGCTAACCTTGTGATTAGGCTGAAGAACGGGCACGAAAAACACGCACACGGGCATAAAACTGTGGCAGGCGTTCACGTTTGACGCCCAGGTCATGTTTTGGTGATGTTTCAGCCTCGGTACGAGTGAGTTTTGGCGTGTTTGGTAATGCCGCATTCAGGTGCCTGATCTGACGCCAGGGAGCAGCTCGTAGATTCAACTCATTTTGGACAGATGACAGATAAACGAAGGATTTTAGTCGGTAGAAATACACATTAAAACAACTTATTTTGTGATTTGAGCATGTTTTGGATCGGTTTTAATGGAGTGCAGGGAGCAGAGTAGGTTTGCATGTTCCTTATCCGAGTGTTTGACCGGGACCCGCAGCTTTTGACAGCCCCAAAATCTCCCAGGGATTCAGTAAGCACGTAATTTGTGTAACTATAACGTCACGTGCACACGCCTGTCGTCCTTTTCACGACTCTTTTAACGGGTTCCACACAGTGTTTTAGTGTTGGGGAGACGTGCGTCGCGCCGATCAGCTGATCAGATCAGACTGAGCAGGGGCAGGCTCCATTTGCTTGTCACGTTAGTTCCTAAATTCACAGATGCCGTGACGCGCATGCACTTTGACAGCTCGGGTTTGGTTTGAGGACTACGTGGACGCGCTGATTCGCTGGTTGGTTTGGTCTGATGTGCGCTCAGATCCAAGACACATTAGGCCCTAATGCTGCAAAGTGAAAATATGCAGCTCTGTGTCACCGAGTTGGAATGCATACAGGAAGAAGGTGTCACCTGTAGTAAATACACTGCTCTTTCATGTGTGTTTGTATTATGACTATGGAGATACTGTCTCTTGATCTTTTCAAATATAATACCAGATAGTCTGTACTCGGATACTCTGTTTAATCTTTCACATGTAAACGTATCGGACAAAGTGACTCAAAGCTTTTCTTCTGTTCCTTCAGGTTGTGCTGGAGAAGTAAAATGGCCTCCTGTGACTGAGACCAAACACTTAGTGTTTTCCTCAGCAGCTGAACTGTCTCAGCAGCTTAAGCCATGCCTGACGACGACTAAAGACCCCCCCTTTTGCTCAAAGCAATAATCAAAAATAAAAAAAAAAACAAAAAAAAAACAAACAAATCCCCTATGCCTCTTCATTGCACCTTACTGGAGTGACTGCCCTGCCTTGGTCCCCATCCTCTTCCATCCTGCTCCACCAAAACCACACCACAAAATGAAGCGGCTGTACCTGAGAATGGCCCACACCTGAGGTCCCATGCGTCCCATGAACACCGACTCGGACGGCCCTGCTCCTCCTGAACACACCTCCTGCCCCTTCCCCCTCGTGGGCCCCCTGCCGGCCTCAGAGATGTCCCTGCTCCAGTCGCTGGGGCCAGTGCAGAGCTGGCTCGGCCAGGAGCTGGAGAAGTGCGGGATTGATGCTATGATCTACACCCGCTATGTCCTCAGCCTCCTTCTGCACGATAGTTATGACTATGACCTGCAGGACCAGGTTCGTTTATTCAATGAATAATTGACTTTTCCTGTTATTTCTGTTGTCTGAGTAAATGTATAACACATTTTTCACTGAAATGTTGTCTTCAGGAGAACGACATCTTCTTAGGCTGGGAGAAAGGAGCTGGGAAGAAGTGGGGCAAGAGTAAGAAGAAAGGTGTGACTGACCTGAGTCTGGAGGAAATGAAGAAACAGGCTGCTGTCCAATGCCTCCGCTCTGCTTCTGATGAGGTAAGTCTGACACAATTCTTGTGCCATCACATTTAGACTTGCACAAAACACTTCATGTGTTTGTAATGACAGAGTGAAAGATAAGTCTTTGCTCTCGTTAGGGCGTCTGTGTGTATGTTAAATACAGAACAAGCAGTGAAGTGATCGACTTTTAAAAGTAAAATTTATGGTCACATGATTCAAGTGTCAGCAGATGAACTCCCTTCACATATTAACTGGATTAGTGCATGTCCTGACTGTAAAATTGTGAATATTTCTGTCCTGTTGTTTGTTTCCTGCTCTGCTGAGGCCTGGTTGAAAGTTGTACATTTATGGCCTGCAGACAGCGGTGGACGCTGCTGCTGCTTTGCATGAGCACATATATCGGTCCTCAGTAAATTAGTTTACAGGAGTTAAACATAGCTGATTTTAATTGATTGCCTCACCAACTGTAATGTTTTGCAAGTTCAGAACCAGAACAGAAAAGTCCTATTTGTATCTACAGCTACAGTTCTGGTGAATTTCAGATTGAGACTGTGTGTATGAAAAGAGCAATAATTTGTAACGTCTCAGAAAGAATAAAAATGTTCATAAATAGGGGCACAGTTTGTAGTTTTACAGTTTATGTTCTCTAATGGTGTGTGTAAAACTGTAGCTACACTAATCGTGAGAATTAAGTTTACGGTCAAGTCGGTTAAGGTTTTATCCTTCGCATGAGCAGCACCTGGGAACTGGAACATTGTGTGTTGATGCAGTGAAAGCGTTTATTGAGTTTATTGAGTTTATTGAAAACCGGTTCATATTTGACATAATGTGTGTGAGGAGGGAAGGGGGCGACACTGGGCTGTGGAATGACAGCAGGTGGAACTGGCCTGGTCGGGTGGGGGAAGGGTTTGAGGAGTGCGCTCTCAAGAGACTGGACTCGAGTCTATTTTTTAACCAGCGCACACTGCAAGGGATTGCACCAGTGTAGCTCTGCTGTCAGCTGACCAACGTTAGTACAATGATGCAAGGAAAAACACAGGCTGGGAGAAACGGTTGTGCTTGTTCTGAGCTGGAATGGTAAGAAATGTGTTGTGTGGATGTTGTCGCCTTCCAGCCTTTTGTAGAATTCTCTTTTAAGTTGAAGAGATGTTTGTTGTTGTTTGTGGTGTTTGTCTCATGACTTCAGAAAGTGTTGACAGTAAATACCAGTGTTGTGTCTTAATACACTGTGGGGCTTACATCAGAAATGTTTTCTGGGATTTCTTTTGTTTAAAAAACATTTTTCACAGTCTATATTTAGCTCAGTCATGGCCAAGTGTGTCTATACATTCTGCAGTCAGCTGGCTCGACTTGTGTCAACCTCATTCCTTTCATTCCTTCTGGTTTCATTTGGGGTCAAAGTCCTGTGAACCATGTTCAAATCTGTAATGTTCTTTCAAACATTAGCATTACTTTTTCATGAATAGGCATATATTATTATGTATTATTAACATTCTGAGGGAGTGGACCTGTCACAATAATTACTATGTTGACTTGTTGTTTTGAACAATAAGTCAATAAATCAGATTAGTATTGAACAACATTTTTGTGGCTCTAAAATGTTGTAAATTCTCTCAGGACTAGTTAGTATTTTTGCATTTTTGTAGTAGTTATATTTGAATTGAAGAGGGTCCAAATAAGTAACATCATTTTTATTATAGATACTAGTATTTAAGTGTTTGTGCTTTTTATTTATTGCAGCTCATGTTTTTATGTAGTTTATTTATACTATAGTTTCAGTATTACCAATTATCGGGGTAATTTTATGCAGGAATTTTAAACTTTGTTATTGTGACAAGCCTACCTTCTACCTTCTGATAAAAAATATGTATATTTATATCATTTAAGATGTCCACTTTGTTTTAAAGAAAATCTCCTGAATACTGTTGGTTGGTTTAAATGATTTACATTCTGCTTTTCTTTCTTTCAGAACTCTGGAATCGAAAGCTTGGTCGAGGAGCTCTGTTCTAAACTAAAGGACATCCAGAACAAACAGAAAGGTTGGTTCATTGTATTCTTCTACTGTGTACACACGTTATTTTACCTGTAATGGTACTTTTGTTTCTTTTTTAATAAGCTCTGTTTGCTGAATTTATAAATCTATAGGGCGATATCTCAAATCTACAGTTGCAGTATTTTAGATTTTTGCTGTTTCTCCCACTTCCAGGAATAGAGTTGGAAATGCAGGTGTGGTTATTTAAAGTCTGCTGCTCGTCTCTTTGTAGTTTTATTGGATTTCAATTCATGTAGAAGATTTGTAGAAGTTCACCACATGTTTTCAATTCTCATTAAGAAGGATTTTGTCTAACTGACCAGCGCCCAGCTACAAAGCACTACATCATTTACACTTTTTATGCATTTAAGAAACGTCCTCTACATATTTTGAGACTTGATGCATAAAGACGAGTGATTGGAAGTCAGGTACATCTGTTTTACAGTTTTAGCAGCGATTTTAAAGTACATTTATCTTTTAAAACACATGAGACTCTGTATTATGATCCACATACAGAGTGCACTGAGACTGGGACAGACTTTATGCATGAGGCCTAATGGTTGGAGGAACTTGCAGCTGTTTTTTTCTACAAGACGATACAAAGAAAACATTGTTACTAAGGAATTATGGAGTATTTCCTTCAGCCTTTCTTCATTTTTATCTCTAAAATACTGAAAATGTCTGTAAATTATTTGAATTTATGAAATGGAAACACTTTTAGACATCTAGATTACACAAATTCCAAATATTTATTACATAACAGATTTGCATATAACCTTAAATGACTTTGCCGACAGCATTTTATAACTAATAGAGCTCATTGTTTTTGCAGAAGCCAAGCAGATTCAAAAGAAATCTGATGGAGCCCAGTCACCAGAGCGTTCTGACTCTCCCTCCTCAAAGGACCAGGTGGAAATGTAAGAGCTTTGTGCCTTTTTATTTTAAGTACACAATGAACTTTTTATTACTGCCACTTCGCTGAAATTGGCTGTAAATGTAATCTTTGTTTTGTATTGTATTTTAGGTATTATGAAGCCTTTCCTCCTCTGTCAGAGAAACCCGTCTGTCTCCAGGAGATCATGACAGTTTGGAATAAGACAAAGGCCTGTGCATATTCAAGTTCATCATCAGCAGCACCGCAGACCAGCACAGACACTTCCTCCCCCAAAGATTGTAACAGCGACGGCGAAGCAGTGAAAGAACAACATCTGGAGGCATGTGGCTCCACGAACACCGCGACAACCGAGAAAGGTCAACAACAGCAACGACGGAGCAAAAAGGAGAAGGAGAACAGGTACCAGAGCGGGGCAGCGGCGGAGGAGCGCCCTTCGAAGAGGCAGATCAGGCACAGGTCCGAGGGCAAGTACAGGCCCCGATCGTGGTCCTCTGGCTCCAGTGAGGCGGGCTCCAGCTCCAGCGGCAACCAGGGAGAGTCCAAGACACCCAGGAGCAAAGCAGTCCGGGTCCGGCACAAGTCCAGGGAGGCTATCAAAAACAGAAGAACCCGTAACAGTGGGCAGGCTAAGACCCAGGTGAAGGTCTCTGAGAAAGATGAGAGGAGAAATGCAGGGAGCAGCAGCAGTGCGAACGGGGGCGCTACCAAACAACCACAGCTTTACAAAAGGGGGAAAAGACCGCTGAAAGAGATCCGCAAAGAGACAGGCTGGGTGGAAGCAAAGGAGTTTGGACTGGAGGGCCGCAAAGAATACATGGAGGAGCCGCTGTGGTACACTGAGCCCATCACAGATTATTTTATACCTTTCAGCAGCAGACAAAGCAAGTTGGAAACAAAGTACCGGAGCAAGGTTGACTCTCCAGAAGGGTTTGCCATGTTAGCCGATATAGATGGGCTCCCTAAAAGATTCCAGGGTATCTGTATCGCTGATGAGAGCTACCAGACGGCATATTTAGCTGCTGGCTCATTCGTGGATGGGCATTTTGTTGAAGGGCCTTGCGAAGCAGAAGATGAAACTGCTGAATTCACTGGGACCTCAAGCTGCCCTCAGCCAGAGGATAGTACAAATTTAGATGACAAGCATCTGCCAGAATTCACTCACTTCTATGAAGTTGATATTTATCAATCCATATTGGATACTAGTGCCTCAGACTCAATACAAGAGAGTCGAATCTTAAGTATGATTCGACAAAAAAGTAATGAGCAAAGAGACATGGAGGCAGAATGTTTAGTGTTAGATGGCCTTGAGCAGCAAGGGGAAAGTGCAATAAGGGCAGACTCACAAGATGCTTCATGTTCTGTCGGGTTCTTAATGCAGGATCTAGAAAACTTGGCGCAAGTCTGGGGATGTTATTCACCATCTACTTCAGATGATATAGATGGAGAGAGCTATATCGAAGACTCTCCCATTCGACTGTCTCCACTTCTGGACAGTGTTTCTTTTACTCTGAGCAAGTTCTCTGCAAACCCTGAAGAGCCATTTGTCCCTGAAGCCACCAGTGAAGTTTCTGGTCTAAACACATCCTGCTTCTCACTGTTTGAGCTGCAGTATGACAGCCCCACGCTTCCCTTTCCCCGCGATGCACTCACTGCAGGTCACGAAAACACCGATTCGAGTAGCTGTCTCGACCCACATTCTAACAAACAGTCTCGTTTGCTAATATGGACCAAAAATAGTGCCTTTGATGAAACAGAACACTGTTCGAACCTTTCAACGCGAACTTGTAGTCCATGGTCTCATTCAGAGGAGACTCGCTCTGACAACGAGCAGGGCAACGCTCTGGCTGAAGACGCTGCTCAAATTGGAAATGAGGAAATCGATTGTATAATGCCCCCTCTTTCCGGTACATATCTAGAGGATGAAATCTTGGATTTTTTACAAGAGGACTCTAGCCGAAAACATGAGGATGTAAAGGTCAGTGCTGCACCCAGCCATACCAAAAAATCTAAACTAGAATCCGTATGTGGCATAGCCTTGGAGGAGGATGACTGCAAGCAGTACAGCGGTGGCATGTTTTCAGACACAAACCAACAACGCGACGACTACAGCTCAGGGATAATCAAAGACATTTGGACTGCAATAGGAGAAGACGACTCTGTAAGGTCAAGGCAAAAAAACGAAAATGCAAGCGAGGGACTGTTCTCAGAAGAATCTAGTGCTTATTGTTGCAGTTGTCTGGAGGTACAAGCTAAAGGAACTCCGCTTCAAGGAGCTCAGAAAAAAGCCGTGCAGCGCTCAGAGTATCACTTATGGGAGGGAAACAAAGATGAGCAAGACTTGGCCAAAAACAAACTCTCCAAGGTCAATAACTCTGGGGATTATATGACGCCGTCCAAACCCTGGGACGTCCACACTGACCGAGAGAACTCGTCCTTCATTTTAGGAGGGGTGTATGGAGAGTTGAAGACACTAAGTTCTGATAAGAGCTGGGCTGTTGTTCCTCCGACTCCCGGCCAGCCCAGTCTGCTCCAGTGTGCTGCTGCGGCTGCTTCAGGCTCAGACATGCTCACCATCACCGGCACTGATGTCTTCATGAACACAAGCAGCTGCTTTGCTCCGGGACACCGGCCCCTGTGGAGGCCTCTAGTGTCTTTCGGCCACAGTGACCAGGCCATCCGAGGAGGAGGCGACGCCATCAATAAGGGGTTCTCTTTCATCTTCCATGAAGATTTGCTTGGAACATGCGGCGGGCTGTACGGTGAGGAGCAGGGTCTGGGATACCCTTTTGCGCCCTTCAACCTAAACAATCCCTTCTCCCAAGTCCTCCATGTAGAGTGTTCTTTTGAGCCCGAGGACATCGCTTCATTCAGCCCAGGCTTTAAGCCCAAGTCCATTCTCTGCTCTGACTCTGAGAACGAAGCCTTCCACCCGCGCATCTACGGCATCAATCGAACACAATACAGGGCCATCCGCATTTCCCCCCGCACTCATTTCCGCCCCATCTCAGCCTCAGAACTGTCTCCCGGAGAAGTAAGCGATTCAGAGGCTGAAACGGACAAAGAGGAAATGAGCTATCCCGCCCTGGCTCCCGCGGACGTCTTCGAGGATCCACAGGCCGACCTCAAACCTCTGGAGGAAGATGCTGAATGTGAGGGCCCTTATTATGGCAAGTCAGAACTGGAATCTGGTAAATTCTTACCAAGATTAAAAAAGTCTGGCATGGAGAAGAGTGCCCAGACCTCTTTGGATTCCCAGGAGGGCTCCAGCACCCTCTTGCCCATTGCTGAGCAGGAGATCTGCTCAGACTTCACCACAGCTGCGGCGTCGGGAGGTGAACACGCAGACACCTCAGCCCTGAAGATGAATAAAGAGGAATCTTCAGGGGAAAAGCAGTCCAGCCTGTGTGCTCCGACCGGTCACATCCCAAAATACGGGATCGCTTATGACTTTGTTGGAGATCTGCCAGAGGTGGGAACTCATCATTTTGATTCATTATTGGTTTGTGTTTGATTCGTTCAATAACCACATTCTCTCTGTCCGTTTAGTTCCCCCTGTTAAATATTGGGGGCCAAGGAGGAACTGGCAGTCACCAGGAGGAGCGCTGGTGGCAGAACACACTCTGTTCCCCAATTTTCCCTGGATCTCAGTGTACAGGTAAATGTCTCACACACGTCACTCTGAACATGAACACAATTAATGAGAAGCACTTCCTCTACTGTTTATAGTTAAGTTTGTACTTTCTGGAAATACAGTTTTACCCACTTCCCTTGATGAGTTTACTAAAGCACTAAATTGTGAAATCTGGGGCGTTTAAACTTCAACACACTCACATTTTTCTCTGTGCTTGTGTCCTCAGGGAGCAGCAACATTTGAAGTCTCCCCTGCTACAGAAGAGGTCTGTTGCTGAGGGGCATTCCTCATTTTGAGACTGGATCACTACCAGCAAAGGTGTAGGGTCATCTCAGAATCAATATCCTCATGCAGGTTAATATTCTGAGACGCTCATTTAAAAACCTTGCCGTACCTTGCTGGGCTTTCATTTACTAACGTAATCCTTGTGTAATCAACAATCAGATCAAAAAGTGAGTGAAAATAGGAAAACAAAAAATGTGTTATGTGTTTGAGTGAAACATTGTGTGGGACATCCATTTTTAAAAACTAGTTCAGTTATTTCTTTTCTCTACACTGGTCCTCATTCAGACCTCAGTCGGCTGTTCGGGAAAATCCTCCGTTCTGTCCTTGTCAGTTTGGTTCCCACCGTTTTTACTTTTGAACTAGGATTTTTTTGCTAGTTGGTTGTGTCTGAATGGTTGTGCATGTATGTCCGTCCAGTTGCACTCTTCTCGTGGTGAATCTACTTTGCGGGGGGAAAAAACACGACCGCGTCCTCCATCCTCCACCTCACGCTCAGAAAGAAAAGAAAGAAAAGAAAGCAAACGCACGGCTGAGGTTCTCGACACGTTTTCAGTTCAGAAGTTTCTACGTTTTTGGTTTTTTTTTGACCGTGAGGTTGAGAATGAGCGTAGCTTTCTATCTGTAAATCCCCCGGTGTGACAAGTGATCATCAAAGAGTCTGATTTTTTTGAATGGTGATAGTCTTTAATAAGCTAGTAGTATAGTATGGTTTGTAAGACTAAACAAAAATATAATAAAAAGTACAAAAACACAAGATGAAAATGTTTTGTTGGCAGAATACTAATCTACTCAAATGCAATGCTGTAAAATCTGAAGATTCAGTTTCGGGGCTTAAAAACCCTCCATCAAAATAAGCCATTTCTTTGCTGATAATTGTTTTGCAATGCTAAATGAAAGTTTCAGTGATTTTACTTTCGGGAATTTCTACGGTACAGACTCTTGGTGCTATGTTAAATACATCTCTGACGTTACCATTGCAAAATCGAGCGGAGGGCATAGCATTTTTTTTTTTTCCGCGGCCCGTCTCGCGATCTCGAGTGGGTTTGTTTTAGAATCTGACAGTTTTTTTGTTTTTTTTTCTTCTTCAGTGCAAAAAAAATCCGCGCGAAGGTTTACCAAAAAACGAATCACACGGCATTACGAGAAATGCTTTAAATTCAACGAAACTTTCATCGACGTATCGTGAGTGAGTGCGCTTCTAGAAACGACTAAATTTAACAAAGCGACGTCGGAAATGTTCACTACAGAATATGGTCGGTGTGGAAAAGACCTATTTGAATATTTATTAAAATCTTACGTTGCGTGTTTCAGAGGAAAACGCTTAGAAAAGGGTTTGGAGAAAAAAAAAAATTTGTGTAGCAGCTGGTGCCCTTTAGTATGTTTTAAAAGGAAAATAATCTACACTTTTACAGAGTTCAGCGTTGTCTGATATTTTATTTTCTATCGCAATTCAAAATCTACAAACGGCGGAGGCAGTTCAAACCAAAAAAAAAAAAAAATCCAACGTTTCCTTTGCTTCTTCTCTTATGGGGTGTGTGTTTTTTATTTTTTATTTTTGGTTTACATTGTGTTGAACTATAGCGTCATGTCGTGTGTGCTTCGGAGTTCATCTTATTCAGGCTATGGTTCGAAGTTGCGTAATTTGTGCAGATGTACCCCTTTAATTTGATCGGAAAAAACGCCCCCCCCCCACCGGACGCTTCGGGGGGGGGGGCGTGAAGCTTTTGTCGTCGTCACTTATGCACAGTTTCGCGAGTGAGAGCGTTTTCTCTTTTTTTGCTTCCATCTGAAAACGGTAAAAGCAGCTGTTTGTTTTTTTGTTGTTGTTTTTTTTCCCGAACGAACCGGGAAGCAGTTGCGAAAAATCTGTACTGACTCTGCATTGTTACAACGAGGATGAAAGCACAGGGAAAATCCGTTTTCTCATCGAGCAGTAATCTAACATTTTTCCAATGCACTGTCACAGGACTTTTCGTTCGGTTGTTCTTTTTTTCTTTTTTCTTTTTTTTTTCCCCCCGAAAGCGGACGGCGCGTTCGGTCGGAGTCCAGATCTGGGGGAAAAAAAAAAAAAAAAAAAAACGACTAAAACTTACCGCATCAAACACTCAGGAACTTTTTACATGCATATAGTCCTAGTTTTACATTCATATTCATTCCTGTGATGGTGCATTGGCGTTTTTTTTTCTTTTTTTTTTTTTTTTCGTTTTGTTTTTATTTCGTTTTGCGGAGAGTAGAAGTCGGCGGCGGCGAAACTCATCCGTCATTTCGACTTGTAGTTCTGGACGGGGAAAAAAATTCAAGCCATCGTCTGTTGCATATAACGATGCGAGGGGAGTTCAAAACCCCGAGTCCTATGCAATACCTTGGCGCATGTACAAAAAAAAAAAAAAAAAAAAAAAAAAAAACTATATAAACGTCATCTGGGTGAGCTCGCATGTACTTTTTGAGAGGCGGGAGATAAAAACCCTAAATAAATCTGCGGAACGTCTCAAAACGTGCAGCATGCAAACGTCACACTCCATTTTTTTTGGTTTGGCTGAAGTATATTTTTGACGAGGAGAAATATTCGAGAGTTTGAAACGACGGCGCGCGTGGTTTCTGTCCGTGAAAATGTGCGAAATTGCAAAAGGCACACAGAGACCGGAGCGGCTCGGAATTCTGTGTCACCTCACCAGTTTTTAAATTCTTCCATAGAAAGCCTGTGTGGAAATTGTATGCAGAGAATGAGGTTTGAATGACTCAGAGGTTGCTTGCTCTGTAGTTTCGAAGTACATCATCCAACACTGAAAAGGAATTTTGTCTTTACTTTTCCCATTTTAGACGAGGCTCCTTCAACCTCCCCATCTCTCTGTTCCTTGAAACATCTGTTCCCAATAGCAGTGTTGTTCTAATTTCATGTACACCACGAGTAAATTATGTTCCATTGTGAATTTCTTTAACATCTAATAAAAAATATAAACCAAACTCCCAACTCGTTTGTCTCATTTTAGTGTCCGAAAGTTAAGTGTGCGTGTGTGTGTGGGGGGGGGGGGGGGGGGATGTTTTAAAAATCTAAAATCGGGCTTCCAAAAAAGAAAATTATAAATCTGGAGCCACAATTTACACTTACACAAACTTTATTGATCCACAAGGGAAATTATTTGGACTCGAAATTATTATTTATTAGGAATCACCTGCATAAGTGAATGTTATAGTCGTTATTTTCACATTTGTTTAACTGTAAAATAACTTGTACTACTGATTTTTAGATCGTAAAAGAATAGAGTGACCAGATTTTCAAAATAAAAAAAAACTGGGACATCTCCAGTTTGGGTTGATTGGTAATAATAAATTTGTGAAATGAGTGTGAAATTTATCAATTAAGACCTGAATTATATGCAGCTTTATTAGATTTCTCTTTGTTATTTGGCTGGGACCTGATGAGTACAAAAACATATTTTTCAAATGTATTTATTTGTAAAGGGACAGCACATATTAATAAACATTAAAACTGTAAATATGTAAAGATTAGAGCCAACGTGGATCATTTCCATCTTCAGTCCCTCTGCAGGTTGATGTGAAATCATCTACAGGACAAAGGAAAGTACAGCAACAATCACACAAAAGTACACAACACCAACACACTCACTATACATACAAATTCAATTATATTAAATATAAATTATATTTTTATATTCATATGTCCACATGTGATATATAAAACCTGTTTTTAAGTTTACTTTTTAGTTGTAATCATTTTGATGGAACAAAAATAAAGTCACAATTGAATAATGATTTGCAAATACTATTTATGAAGTGCCTGAACAACCCAAAATGTGTTGGACATAAATATGAAAATTGTTCTGCACTCTGCATGAGTCAGTATAGTCATTTTCTTTGTGTTTTGGTCATTTTTAAGCAGCCTTTCTGTATTTTACCTAAACAAATGACAATTTATGTCTCTCTTTACTGTTGGCAGGTCAAATTGGTCAAAAATAGGGAAATTTCTTGTATAAAACTGGGACAAATCAGTGGTTTTGGATAAATCTGCAGGAACAAGGAACACAGGGCTTAAAACTGGGACTAAGGTGGTTAAATAAAGACGTCTAGTCACCTTAAACAACACAGCTTTTCTGTATTTTACCTAAACAAATGACAATATATGCATCTCTTTACTGTTTGCAAGGATCAAATTGGTCAAAAATAGGGAAATTTCTTGTATAAAACTGGGACAAATCAGTGGTTTTGGATAAATCTGCTGGGACAGGGGACACAGAGCTCAAAACTGGAACTAACCTGGTTAAATAAAGACGTCTAGTCACCTTAAACAACGCAGCTTTTCTGTATTTTCTGTAATTTCCCTAAACAAATGTCAATGTGTGCCTCTCTTTATTGTTTGCGGCGATAAAATTTGTCAAAAATAGAGACATTTCGTGTATAAAACTGGGACAAATCAATAGTTTTTGGATAAATCTGCAGGAACAGGGGACACAGAGCTCAAAATATGAACGTCTGGTCACTCTACAATAAAATAAAAGCCAGTCTTTCTGTTGTACATCACTAGAGTGAGCCAGAGGTCCACTTTGTCTTTGCACCAGTTTGAAAACCGAAGCTTCTAAACAAGAAAAATACTTGCACAGTTTTGCAAAGAAACGCGTAAAGAGAAACGCACGGATAATAAGTGTAACAGCGTGAGATTAGAGAAACGAAAGTGCATTTTTCTGTCGATTAATAATGCCTTTTTATGAGCCGCGACAGGTGAATCCAGGAGGCGCATTCTTGACTCGATTACAAAGCTCTTTTTACAGAAGTTTGTTTCAAAATGGCGGCGGAAGAGTCGAGGCAGGTACGAGCCGCAGACGACACCGGATAAACTTCGGATATTCGCATCTTCAGCCTCGAAACGCGCACCTGGACCATTCATTCCTCCTTTTCATACGATGTGAACGCTTCGATCCTGCGTTTTGGGTTTTTATTCAGGAGCTTTTGAGGTAAAAAAAAATAAATAAATACGTGTAAAATTGAGCGGGTGAGTTGCGTTGGGGATGTTTTACGCACGCGTCTCTTGGATACGGCCGTGCCCCCGGTGTGTCCTGATCGGTCCTGGTGCTGTTTGTGTACTGTAAACAGGTCTGCGGAGGACGAAGGAGCAGGTGGCGGTGCGTAGGTCCCAGCTCATCCGCATGGAGCGCTCCGAGCAGCGGACACCTGCCTCCCACCTGTAGCGTGAGCCGCGGCGGACAGAGCGCGCACCCCGGGGCGCCATGGCGAGCACCAGCCGAGGGGACACTTGCTACGGTGCGTACAGCTCCTATTAGGTTATATCATTTGTTTAGAGTGACCACACGTCCCTATTTACCCGGGACAGTCCCAGACCCAGCAGATCTATCCAAAACCATTCATCTGTCCCAATTTTACTCAAGAAATGTCCCAATTTTTGATCAATTTGATACCTGCAAACAGTAAACAGAGGCATACATTGACATTTGTTCAGGTAAAATACAGAAAAGTTGCGTTGTTTAGGGCTACTAGACGTCTTTATTTACCTGGGACAGTCCCAGACCCTGCAGATCCATCCAAAACCATTCATCTGTCCCAATTTTATTCAAGAAATGTCACTATTTTTGACCAATTTGACCTCTGCCGACAGTAAAGAGAGGCACACATTGATATTTGTTTTGGGAAAATACAGAAAATACAGAAAAGTTGCATTGTTTAGGGCGACTAGACGTCTTTATTTACCCGGGACAGTCCCAGACCCAGCAGATCTATCCAAAACCACTCATCTGTCCCAATTTTATTCAAGAAATGTCCCAATTTTTGATAAAGTTGATCCCTGCAAACAGTAAACAGACGCATACATTGGCATTTGTTTAGGTAAAATACAGAAAAGCTGCGTACAACTCCTTATTAGACTATATCATTTGCTGATAGAGTGACCAGACGTCCCTATTTACTCGGGACAGTCCCACTTTTGAGTCCTGTGTCCCCTGTCCCAGCAGATTTGTCCCAATTTTATTCAAGAAATGTCACTATTTTTGACCAGTTTGACCTCTGCCAACAATAAAGAGAGGCACACATTGACATTCGTTTAGGGAAATTACGGAAAAAAACAGAAAAGCTGCATTGTTTAGGGCGACTAGACATCTTTATTTACCCAGGACAGTCCCAGACTCAGCAGATCTATCCAAAACCACTCATCTGTCCCAATTTTATTCAAGAAATGTCCCAATTTTTGATAAAGTTGATCCCTGCCAACAGTAAAGAGAGGCATACATTGTCATTTGTTTAAGGAAAATACAGAAAATACAGAAAAGCTGCGTTGTTTAAGGTGACTAGACGTCTTTATTTACCGGGGACAGTCCCAGTTTTGAGCCCTGTGTCCCTTGTCCCAGCAGATTTATACAAAACCATTCATTTGTCCCAGTTTTATTCAAGAAATGTCCCTATTTTTGACAAATTTGATCCCTGCCAGCAGTAAAGAGAGGCACACATTGTCATTTGTTTTGGTAAAATACAGAAAAGCTCCTTTAAAAAAGAAAATGACCAAAACACAAAGGAAATGTGACTATACTGACTCACATGTTCGTCATGAATGAGCCAAGGGCAGAACAGTTTTCCTTAATTATGCACTCGTTTCACAATTTTATTATTATCACTAGGGTTGGGTGGTAATACGATATTGGAGTATCCCGCGGTATCAGTTTCATTACGTCATTAAACAAATCTGCAGCTCATAAGGACCTGATATAATATTTAAATTTATTGACACCTACATGTGTTTGCTCAGCACAAATGAATGTGTGGTTTTATTTTCAGTTTAATGTTACCACGATTTAAAAATAATAGTGTCTATAATGTTTCTTGGGGAGATGATGTTCGCTTAGTTTCGTTCCGTTGTCCCGTGACGCTCATAAGAGACCAAGACAAAACGACAAGCCCGACCACAAGAGAGTTGGTCCCCCCCTAAAAATATACTAATACTTCTGCAATTTGGCAGCATTTTGGCTTCAGGTCACATTTGTTTACGTTTTACAGAAATGAAACTTCAAACCACACGGATCATTTGCATAAATTATAAAGCTCTGATAAAAACCGCTCGCTCCTTGTGCACTGATGCGTCAGATTCTGTCAGACCAAAGGACACGGCTCAGTGGAATATGAGTGTTCTTTCTGTGACAGAGGGGTGTTCTGCTGATGGTGAGTCTGTTCTGTGCGTGTGTCGTGTTGGAGATGGTTCATGTGAAACTTTTCAGAGATTATAAGTCCGCAGATCACACACACAGACTGTACAGCGGTGCGGCTTTGTAGTTTACCAAAGTCGTACTAAAACATTTTGGTAATACTGTAAACCTGGTAAAATCCTGAGAAGGTTGAACAGAATCAAAATTTGGATACTGCCCAACATTAAAGGTTGTATAGAGGATTTTTTAAGGGAAAAGAAATACAGCGACCGTCCTTTTTCAAATGTTGTGCATGCGTGACACCACCTTCCTCCTCCACAGCTCCCTCAGTAGAAACACCTCCTCCCACCTCTTTACTCTAGAAATCACGTTTGTCTACATTCACTGCATGTTCAGAAGTGACCTGTCTAGAAATAATTTGCGGCAAACTGGTCGTGGATTCTCATCCGCCATCGCAACAAACTTTGTGCAAACTGCGAGGAAGCGACAGTTTTAAAAAATCCTCTAAGAACCGCTGCATAAGTGAGTCAGTTACACTAGAAACGTAGGGACTTTGATTAACAACCTAACAGCCAATAGAAAATAAGGGAACCTTGTTATCTATTGGCTGATGTTTATCTGGCCTCACTACGTCAACAGTTGATAGATTTTCATAATTTTTTTTTTGGTCATCACAGTTACACGGCTGCTGCATCTCTGTCATGGTATTTTAAACTTTCATTGACAATTTGAAACAAAACAAAAAAAATCCTCCATACAACCTTTAATTACCAACCAGTGTTTCCCAGTTTTTTATTTTGAAATTCTGGTCACTCTACATTTGCTTATCAAATTTATATGTGCGTAATAGTCACGCTTTGGTGCATTATTACAAAGAAATAGCCCAGAAGTCGTAAACTCTCTTGAACGCCTCTTGATTTTTAAAAGTTACACAAAGTTGACTCTTGTGAGCTTTAAAACATGTTTATAATGTTGTTTCCTCTTCAAGAAACAGACCTGGAGTTGTGTTTTGTTTCATTCACACATGTTTGACTCACTTTTTTTTATGAGTCTGCCTTCATTTCCAAAGCTCAAAATGCTCTGTGCCAGTTCCTTTTACTTTTTCTTCAGTAGAGATCGGTGTATGGAGTTTAAAAACACACTGGAGCACTTCCTGTATCACCGCATGACATCACAAAATGGAATAGGGTGTTTTCTGTTTGAGAGAAGAACACAAATGATTAAAATCTGCAGGGTTTGTGCGTTAAACACGTGTGAAAGAAACAAAACACAACTCCAGGTCTGTTTGTGACGAGAAAACGACATCATTTCCTTTTATTATTATTCTAAGAGACTTTCCCTGGCAGATCCTCGTCCACTTTCTATCTGATATTGAGACTGTGACCGTGTAATAATCGAGTTTTGTCTTTTAGAAATGCCATTCATTCACCTGTGCGCGTCACGTGTCCGCTCTCTTAATGTGTTTGTTTTATGTTTAGACAAGCACTCCCCGTACGACACTCCCCGCGCTCTAAGCTCTGTGATGACAACCAAACATTCAGCCGGTTACGTTCTCTGCCAACTCACCGTATTGAAATTAATCACCGCCGTATCGCACGTGCAGGAACCTTCGCTCGATTGTGTCACGTGAAAATCCAAGTCTAATTTAGTCTGAGTCAATAATAAAGCCGCACTGTGGAGTTTTTAGCTTGTTCCTGCTCGTTTCTAGGAAGTTTTTATTGCTTTGCCTGGAGGTTTTAGTGACGTTTTAATGCCGTACCTTGGATCTTATCTGTTGCCATGGAGACATAAAGCCACGTTACAGGTCGTATCTGTGGAGTGGCGATCCCGCTACAGTAGAGAGTGCAAAAATATTGAAATATCGGTGTGTGGGCTGCTCGATTATGGAAAAAAAAGTGATTATTTTGGTCAATATTGAAATAACAATTATTTTTTTGTTACACGAATAATTTATTCAGCAGTTTTCTAAAAAAAAACAAACAACTTTGTTATTGATAACTTACGCAAAATTTCCAAATTGAAAATGCATATCGGCTACAAATCTGAATCTTAGAGCAGTTTTGCAATGTATAAAATGAATGAAATAAACTTTAAACATGAAATAAGTCAGAAAAAAGATAAATGTGCCCAAAATAAACTATATATCCAGCTGTTCTACAATTTCTATATTTACAAAATAAAATAAATATACTTATTTACATAAAAATATCCCAAAATAAACTTTGTTAAGCTTATCGTTTCACCTCAATTATATTTTGGAGTTTGGAATCTTGGTCAACATTCAATTAATTGCATGGCGTTAGGATGATTTATCAATATATCGCTAAGAGTAGTTTTTGGTTTATTTTACTAAATTATTTTGTTACAGCTACAGTTTTGTTGTTTGTTCAGAGGAAGGAAACTCGTTTATGTGACACATTTGACATTTTAATTGTTTCGATGATTAAAATGTTTGCGTTTCATATGAACTTTGGACAAGAAGTGGTTTAACAAAGACTTTTAGTGTCACACCCATGGTTTAGACTTTATTTTTATTGAACCTTATCAAATCAATTTGAAATATATCGTATCAAATCGAAAGTTTACTATATCGAGTTATGTATCGTATCGCCAACTTCTTCCAATCCAAGTCCAACTTTATTTGTACAGCATATTTTATAAACAAGACAGTTTCCAAAGTGCTTCACAGAGCAGCGTAAAACATTTCACTTTAAAAAAATCAGCAGAATTATGTTTCAAACAAGAGGAACTAATAGAATCAATAGATAAAATAATAATAAAATAAGTGAACAAAATTATAAAATCAATACATAAAGGCAGTACTAAAATAAATAAATAAATAAAAAACAATAAATAAAAAAGAAAATACAAATACAAAATGATAAAAAATAAAATTAAATGCAAATAAATAATAATCAAATATAAAAATAAACAATAATAAAATAAAAACAAATTAAAATATAATAAATTAAAATAAAACCAAATAAAAATATAATAAATTAATATCAACACAGAGGACCACAAAACTCACGCAGTGTTAAAAGCCAGAGAGTAAAAGCGGGTCGTCTTAATGTTACCCAGCCCTACACTACAGTAAAAAAACATGTTTTTTTT